TCCCTGCTCAGAGGGGAGCCTGCTTCTCCCTCTCCAGCCTGCTGCACCCCCTGCTTGTGGTCTCTCTCCCTCTCTGTCTGTCAAATAAATAAAATCTTTTTTAAAAAGATTTTTAAAAATTTTTAAATTTTAAAATATTTAAAAATTTTTTTAAAAAAGATTTTATTTATTTGACAGACAGAGATCACAAGCAGGCAGAGAGGCAGGCAGAGAGGCAAGCAGGTGGGGGGGAAGCATACTCCACGCTGAGCAGAGAGCCCGATGTGGGGCTCCATCCCAGGACCCTGAGATCATGACCTGAGCCGAAGGCAGAGGCTTAACCACTGAGCCACCCAGGTGCCCCAAATAAAATCTTTTTAAAAACTTGACATGTAAAACCAAAACCATGTCCATGTTGTAAACAACTCGCAGGTCACAGTTTTTTTCTGTGGTGAACACTTTGGTTTTGTACAAGTAGGGAAAATAACCAAGATTCCTCCCTTCTCAGGGTATTGCCAGGCCAGGCTCTCTAGGCTGGTTCGGTTTGGTTGTGGAATCCCTAGCTCAGCTTATATCCCTAATCCAAAGCCAGGCAAATCACCATGCCGGGGGAGAACGGTCATTCTCCCAAAAGCAGTGGGCACAATCACCTGTGGTGTTTGTTAGGCTACAGGTGCTCAGGTTTCACCCAAGACTACCCTAAGGGTACCAAAAATTTTATTTGGGGAAAAAAAGACTCCCCAGGAAATTCAGATGCACAGTCTCAGTAAAGAACATCACATTACCTAGCCAGATGACTCAAATCACATTAGGCTGCATTCACATTAGGGCTAAACACGATGTTCATCCCTCCTGAGGTTGTCTCCCCTCCAGGTGACTAAAAAAATAAACTCACAAGGCTGATCTGGTTCATCTTTAGTGTTATTTCATGGACTAAAATACTCTGAGAATGCTCCATTTTCATTCCAGTTGTCTGCTGAGGCCATGGCAAAGCCCTTCCCAGTACAAGGGAACACTCAACAGCTCATGAAATAGCTTTAACCTTTCAGGAGACAAAAGAAAAAAATTAGAGAGAGAAGATGATCTTTAAATGCATTGCCTTAGACATGAGCTCATGAACTATGGTCAAGGTAAAAGTACATTACACTCAAATTTTGCTGGTTTAGTATATAAAGGAGGCAGGAAGAGAAGGATGTTCTTGTTGTTACAAAAACTGAAAATGAAGGGTAAGTTCTCTTCCCAAGTTCACCAGTTACCCATGTGTAACTCAGCAAATAATTTGCTCTCTCAGTGTTTAGATGACTGCGCACTCTGAGAGAAAACCATTTACTTGAAAGTCAATAAGACAGCCAACATATTATACTACAAATACTGCACATTTAAAAAAAAAGACATTTTAGATCAGTACAATATTCTTAATCTTGCCTGCTTTATCTTTTTACAGCATGCAGCCCTGTGGCTCAACCTCCATTTCTCCAGGGCAAAGTCAATTCAGAAACCAATCCCTTCAACAGCTAGATAGAAAGGACAGGATCAATAAAGGAATAACAAGTACTCCAATTGTTTCTATTATCAGACAGCTCCACAGTGCACATATATGATGTCACAGCAAAACAGAGAAGAGCATAAGCTCCGAGGAAGACAGGATATGATAACTGATGGCAACTTTAATAGTTTAACCTAAGTAACTATAGCTCCTCTTACCACAGGCACCTTATACCAGCCCCCTAGAGGGGATGAGACAGATCTTGTGTGAGGGGAATGGCAATTTTTTAAGATAAAGGAACAGAGGCCTCTGTTAACAGATTTGATTAACAAAAACAAAAGTAGGGGCACCTGGGTGGCTCAGTGGATCAAAGCCTCTGCCTTTGGCTCAGGTCATGATCCCAGGGTTTGGGATTGAGCCCCGCAGAGGGTGCTCTGCTCAGCGGGAGCCTGCTCTTCCTCCTCTCTCTCTCTGCCTGCCTCTCTGCCTACTTGTCTGTCAAACAAATAAATAAAATCTTCAAAAAAAAAAAAAAAACTAAAACACTGTCTCCAGCCTAAATAACTAAACATCAATTAGTTATAAAGAATTTTAGTGAGTCTCTCTATATTGTATCATAGCAGGATAAAAATTACCCAGGATCTCTCAATATTGCTTTTTAAAATAAGAACGTGAGGGGCGCCTGGGTGGCTCATTCTCTTAAGCGTTTGCTTTCAGCTCAGGTCATGATCCCAAGGTCCTGGGATCGAGCCCCACATCGAGCTCCCTGCTCATCGAGCTCTGCTCAGGGGAGCCTGCTTCTCCTTCTCCCTCTGCCCCTCCTCCTGCTTGTGATCAATGTCAAATAAATAAATAAATAAAATCTTTTAAAATTAGAAAAAAAAAGAATGTGAGTTCTATATATAGTTAAATTCCTTTTACTGTCTCTGGACCCTTATGTATGCAATTCGAACCATGCATAAATCGAAACACGAAGGCTGACACAGCTCTTAACAGTTTGTAAGAAATGTTCAGACAGTATCTTGTTTTAGCATCCCAGGAGTTCCATGAGATATTACCCCATCCTCGTTTAACAAATGATAAAGCTGAAGCACAGAGATGCTAAACACCCTGCCTAAGATTACTCTGGATCCTGCTATCTCTTTCCAAGCTCACAAGAGAAAAAAAAAAGATTTCATTTACACTCAGGTTTTTCTGAACAATGCAGTAAAATCAAGTATTGATGCTGTCATATATGAATGCTGAACCTCATGCCCTCTCCAAATCTTACAGCAATGGTTTACCCTTACACTGTCATGAAGACTCCTTCATGAAAGGTAATGAAAGCTAAGGAATCCCCACCCCATTAAAAAAGGTACATACGCAGATGTTCATAGTAACATTATTCATAATGGCCAAAGAGTGGAAACCACCCCAAAATCCATCATTTGAGGACAGATATACCAAAATGTGGTATATCAATACAGTGGAATATCACTCAGGTAAAAAAGGAATGGTGTACTGATGCAATGTGGATGACACTTGAAAACATTATGCTAAATGAAAGAATCTAGTCACACAGAAGACCATATGTTATATGACTCCATCTATAAGAAATGTCCAGAATAGGCAACTTAACAGAGATAGAAAGTATATTTATGCTTGTCTAAATTAGTGGTTGGGTGGGTTGAGCAGAAATGGGGAGTGACTGCTGATGTGTACAGGCTTTCTTGCTGAGGTAATGAAGATATTGTAAAATTGATTGTAGTGATGGTTGCACAGCCATGAACACGTAAAAGCCACTCAATTGTGCACTTTAAATGATGTATTATATGGTATGCAAATTATATCTCAATAAAGATGCTATTTAAAAATCATTAAAATACATATAGTGAGTAATATTTCCCAAATAATTTCTGATGGTTCACCAAGACCCTGAAACCCATCTACAGGTACACTGGTGTCCAAGACTCAGGGTCAATAACTCCTGATCTACAGAAATAAGAATCATCCTATTTTCTTTGTTCTACATTTGAGTTTTATTTTAGCTTCCCCTACCACAACTATCAAACCTATGCCTCCTACTTTTTAAGATCACTATTTCCACCTATTAGATCACATGACCACAGTATTTTTCAATATTGATTCATTACATCTAATAGGTGAGACAAGACTGATACACAAATAACAACATACAAAACAGAAGGTGAATCTTGCATTTAAAAAGCCAGGGAAGATCAACAAGGAAGAATGATTAAAGGAAACCTTATTGACAGAGGTGGACATTTAATGCTCTATTTAACCTTGAAGAATAGGTAGGAGATGAACATGCAGAGAAGGAGTAAGGAGAATTTCAGAGGAGAGCAGAATCAGGGATGTTGCCGAATAGTTCCTAGGAACCATGAAGAGAGGACTTACTGTCAAGCTCAGGATCCTGGACTTTAATCCATAGGCTCTAAGAAGCCAAGGAAGGCTGCTGAGTAGGATAGTTATCTAATCAAAGTCGTATATTAAGACTGTTCAGTAATATCTGGGAGTATGTGGAAGGCAGAAAAACTGAAAGCAAGGAAACAAATAGGGAGCCTATTAAAAACAGTATGAAGAAAAAGAAAAAGTATGAAGAAACGAAGAAAAAAAATAGTACAAAGAAAAAGTTACAGTATGATTTAGAGAATGACGTCTTGACCCAGCAGCCATTTTAAAAGATTAAGGCATCCACGGAAAAAACGAGTGCTTTGATATTGCAGTAGCTACTCATTTAAGGTACTGCCAATATACAAACCAGCTGTAGTTCATCATGGTACGTATTTCCCTTGAAAAACCCCATCTACAACATGAGTTTTGAGATCTCCTCAAGACAGAATTTTAACATTACATTTTTGGCTATTCGTGAGATTTTGTGTGGCTGTTTGTGGGATTAGGAGGGGGCGCCAAAGATTCCTTTCGGTTCCCTTTGCTCCATTAACTCCACAGGAAATATTTCAAGTTCTGTAACTTTACAAAAATTAATCCTGATAAGAGTTGGATGATAAGCTTCCACGTGACCAACAAAACCCAAACTCCAAGACTAAAAGACCTTAGACAAAAATGACATATTTGCAGTAGCAAACAGTAAACGGTCAGAGAACTCACTGACCGCAACATAATTCCCTTGAAATTGCTTTGTTTCTATTTGTGCGCCCGAGGTGATTTGTGGCAGGGCATAAGCTTCGGCAGCAACCATTTCTGGGTTACAGACCAGCACAGGACACACAGCGTGGGCGAGTTTACACCCAGGAACCGCTGAGGATTAGTATTCCCTCGGAAGAGACTAAGAGGGAGCCAGGAGCTACTTCAAAGTATCCCTCCTTTTACAGGGCGATGTTAAACACAGGGACTAGGAAAGACGGGGTTGAAGACCTGAGTCACGTGACACCCTGCCCTGCCCTATCCCCACAAACTCGTTTCCCAGAGCCCAAGACATTACCCCTTAGCCCTTTTACTTCCAGTCCCTGGCCCCTCTTCCCCCGCCTTAAAACACCCTCCATGTCCCCTATCCCTTTAGATCTCTGCTCACTTGTCCCGGATGATGGTCTGCAGCTCCCGGATCTGATCATTCATAGGCAGCAGTTTAAGCTGCGACCCGATCTGCTGGGAGAATTCGCGGTCCCCAAGGAGGGATTCGCTGGTTGGTGCGTCACAGTTGCCACTACCACCGCTGCTCTCTGAGTTGAGGCTGGCCTCGTCGCAGGCCGGACGATCCAGCTCAGTTGGTATGCTGGAATGAGCACACCCTGCGAGGAGAGTCGGCATGGTCTTGGAGGCGCTGTTTCCCCCGGGTTGGTCTGACATCAGGTCGCCGGGTCGCAGCGGCTCAGAGCTCGGGGTAGAGACAGAGTTTGCTTTCTGGTTGTGACGAGGCGTGGAGTCCGAACACCGTAAGTCCTTAGCCATACACCAGGCCCCGGGCTTTCCCTGCAGCTACTGACCCCTAAGGCTAAAGGAGAGCGAGGAGAAGAGGCCGATGCTCATCCGCTCGCCTGTTCGTCCCGGACGTTTCCAAACTCTTAACGGCGATTACGCCCTCTCACCCTACCACCCCCTTCCCGGCCTCCGTAAATTCCCCTGGGCGCGTTATGTCCCTGCCCCTCCCACACCGGACGTACAGCCTGCCTAGACCCTATTGGCTCCTCTCCGTGTTACTCTCAGGCGAACTGAGAGTAACCCTTTGATCACCGGGCTGCGTGGGTTCCCACGCCTTAACCAGGCGGCCGGGACGGAGCCAGGGGTGCTTGGTTCCAGGCTCTTCCGGGAGCCGTTAGGGGTTCTGCATGCAAAACTTTGGGGGCGTGGTGGAGCCAGAAAAATCTGGGAGTGGAGAGTGATAAAATGATTACGTACAGAAGGCCCACTGGTTTTAGACTTTGTGTGTTGGCCGAGAGATTATACTTCAAAAAACGGTATCTTCACTTAGCTTGTCTGTGTAACCAAAAGGAAAAGTAAAAAGCAAAAAGCTGCCGAAGAGCCCGCCTTCTACTAGACTGTTCTACAAACTGCAGCTTCCCAAGGGTGCTTGACCACTAGAGTTTTCCTTATCTTTATTCGTTGGGACCTACATTGAACTGTTACTATGGGGATTCCGACAGCATATCAGATCCACGACCACTTTGTTTATTGTAAGTACTTAGAAAGACACATTTTTGAATCTTTGGGGAAAGAAGGTCCAGGCAGCAGTACTTCTCAACACCAGTGTGTATTAGAACAATTGAAGAGCTTGTTAAAAATGCAGGTTCTCGTGGCCTGCCTTTGAGATTCTGATCCAGTAGATCTGAGAAAGGATCAAAGAATCCTTGTTTTTAACAAGCAACCCAGCAATTATGATCTTTTTTAAAAAGAGCACGCTGTAAGAAAGTAATTTACAGGCTTCCTTTTTAAAGAGCTATAATGTGAAAGTCAGACACCTGCTAATTCTGCTAAAGAAAACTATTGAGCGACATTTAACAAGTCCCTTTCCCTTTCTGGACTTGCCTCTCCCCATCTATAAATGAGATGTATTAACTATTTAACTCCTAAATGTTCTTCCAATTTTGACATTCTATAATTCTATTTTGCCTCCCAAAAAAACAATTCTTAAAATTCCCTTTTCCACAGAGTCACATAAGCAACTCACAAGAGATCAGAGTAACATTAGTAACAGATAACAAGACTATCCAGGCCTTTCTTTGGTGGGACTTGAGCCTTGATATGGCTCTCTGTTTCCAATTTTTTGTTTATTGTTTAGGTATTCATATTAATGGTATTTTTAATCCCTTTGTTTCACTCCTATTTTCTCTGCTTTGTTCCTGACCCTCTAGGTCAGTACACTATTAGCTATAATTATAGAGAGTTTAAATTTGATTGGATGAAAGGCATTGCAGCCTAAAATTGTAATCGAGTCACTTTTGAAAGCTTATGTATTTGTCCACCTAGCACTGCATGTAGTTCAAAGGGCCTCTGGGTTTAAAAGACAAATCTGGCTACTTTGCCAATGGATGCTCTAAAGGAAAACACTGCAGTACAGTATTGTTTCGCTATCAGTAATTTAAATGAACTAATGAATCTAAAATGGTATCGTGAGATATTCCAGGACTAAAACTGGACTGTAGTCATTTTTGTCTAGTTTCTTATCAGGCAAATGGCTTGTTCTCAAGGCCACAGAATATGAGTTAGGACAGTACAACTGCTAGTGTGTCTTCTGTTTTCACTCTTATAGGAAATATTCATACATACACTTACCTATGTTAACCAGTAATCATTAGAAAATCTATGTATGTAGTTATTTAAGAAGCTATTAAAGCACAATTCACTAATGAGTAGATAATGACACCTAAAGTTTGGTACTTTGTAATTTACAAAGCACTTCTATACATTCTCTCACTTAATTTTCAAAAAACAAAAAAGCTGGAGGTTTACCAAGCCCCATTTAGAGATCTTATCTGTGTGATTCTTTTTCTTAGTGACTTGTCCAAAGTCACACATCCAAAAAGTAGCAGACCAAGACAAAAACCCCAGTCTTTTGACTTCAGATGCAACCTTCTTCACACATACTGATAGAACCATGAAATCATTCGGTTAACAAATACTAGCTGAGCCCTTAACTATTTGCCAGGAACGTTGCTATGTGCTGGAGCAGATACAAAGAAAAATGAGTGACGATCTTGAAATTCTCCATGGTGGTAGAGGTCAGGGATAGTATGGATCTTTGAAAACCAAAGGACAAAATTAAGCAGCAGGAAAACCTAAACCAAAAATGCTAATAACAGAATTGACAAATTTGAATTTAGCTCTCTTGCTCACTTTTTTTATGAAGGCATGAAGCCAGATAAAGCAAAAGCTGGAAAATTCCCCTGTAGTAATTGAGATGACTGTAAACTTCATTTTAGGTTGTGAGCTCTAAATTTGATATATCCCTAAAAATTATTTAATATATCCCTAAATTTGATATATCCCTAAAAATTATAAAAACCAATTGCTTGTGTCAATAGAAATCCTTTACATACTTCTACATAGTACTTTTAGAAAGCACTTTATATAGAGGTTATCTTGTTCAACATTGTGGAGTAGTGAGACTCAGTATTACAATTTCTGTTTTACAGGTGAGAAAATTAAGACTTAGGAAACTAATTTAGAGTTACATCATGAATAGTAGAGTTGGGAGAAGGCAAAAGAGAATTCATATTAATATAATCTCTATTTTCTATGCAGTATGCTTTAGTTACCTCATTTAAATCTTTCAATAACCTTGGAAGGCTGTATTTGTTATCTATTTGTTATCTGATATTTACTGATAACAAAACAAATGTAATGAGATTAACTTGACACTGTCACACAGGTAGTAAGTGCAGGAGCAGAGATTTTTTTTTTAAGATTTTATTTATTTGTCAGAGAAAGAGAGAGAAAGTACGCACAAGCCAGGGGAGTGGCAGGCAGAGGGAGAAGCAGGCTCTCTGCTGAGCAAGGAGCCAGATGCAGTACTCGATCCCAGGATCCTGGGACCGTGACCTGAGCCGAAGGCAGACACTCAAATGACTGAGCCACCTGGGGGCCCCAGGAGCAGAGATTTGAATGAAAGGTCAATTTGACTGTTCCTATAACCCAGGTCCTCAAATTTGTCCAAGTTATCTTCCTCTACTATAGACCACACTTTATGTTTGTACTAGATAGTATCTCACCTGAAATACCAGATTAAACCTATGAATCAAAAATTGTACTATATGACTGAGCTGGGGGATCCTGATATAATTATGTTAATACATAGTTCTCAGATGAACTCTTTGATAATCCCTTTGTGCCCTAAGCTCCAAGAATTCTTTAATTCAATTGACTTTGGTGATGCTTAAGCTATTGCATTACTTTACTTTTTTAAAAAGATTTTATTTATTTGACAGAGAGATAGAGCACAGGTAGGCAGAATGGCAGGCAGAGGGGAGAGGGAGAAGCAGGAGCCCCATATGGGGTTTGATCCCAGGACACTGAGATCATGACCCGAGCCAAAGGCAACTGCTTAACTAACTGAGCCACCCAGCTGCCCCTGCATTGTTATTTTAAATGTCTTATGAACAAAAATTTTAATTAAAAGTTTAGCCAGTGTTCTGAACAAATACTGTGGTTTGCTTCTCTCCAAATAGCTATAACAACTTTTAAATGTATGCCTTGGTTCTATGGCTTCCAATAATCTCAAAATCTCTATTTGGATATCTTTTCAAATGTGTACCTTTTTTTTTTTTGCCATTTACTCCTCCTTTCAAAATTTTTGAATCACTTTTAAAATACATATTTACCTGATGATTCACAAACCTATACCCCTGGGGCAAATAATACATTCTATGTTAATAAAATAATTTTAAAAAGAGTACTTAGTACTCTGATTTGGAATAATAAAAAAGTACATATTTACAGCCTTTTGCAGTTAGTTTACTTGTAAGTACAAAGACCCTCCTGTGGAGCTTAAACAATTTCTGGTAAGGTGTATGGGGCAGGGCAGGCAGATCTTTTATAAAGAATTATTCCATGTTCTAAGAAAGAAAATACCTTGTATAAGAGGTATAAAATAGAACTTGTTAATATGATGTATTAATAACTGAGGTGTCTTGTTTTTTTAAGATTTTTTTTTTTATTTGAGAGAGAGAGGAGAGGGAACATGAGCAAGTGGTGGGGGGCAGGGAGGGGAGAAGCAGACTCCTGCCTGAGCAGGGAGCCCGAAGTGAGGCTCCATCCCAGTTCCCTGGGATCATGACCTGAACCAAAGGCAGATGCTTCACCGACTGAGCAATCTAAGCATCTCCTGAGGTGTCTTTTTTTGTGTTTTGTTGATTTTTTATATTGTATACTTTGAAATTTTTCTGTTTTTCTTTTGTGTAAATTCTAAAGTTATTTTTTTTCTAGTTACCTTGGGACTTATATAACACATTTTCTAACAGTATAGTTTAAATTGGTAACAACTTTAATTTTAATCACATATAAAAACTCTACACTTTAACTTCTCCTGCCCCACTTTAAGTTATTGTCACAATTTACATTTATTCCTGTTATGTATCATTAAACATATTTTACTTATAGTTATTTATAATAATTTTCTTTTTTTAAGTAAGTTCTATGCCCAGTGTGGGGTTGAACTCATGATCCTGAGATCAAGAGTCACATGCTCTACTGACTGAGCCAGCCCGGCACTTCTATAATGATTTTCTTTTAACTTTTATATTTGAATTTAAATTTATTTACTCACCACCATTATACTAATGCAGTGTTCTTTCATTTGTCTATATATTTACCTTTACCAATGAGTTTCATATTTTCTTACTAGTGTTGAGTAGCTGCTTAGTGTCCCTTTGTTTCAACTTGAAGAACTCCCTTCAGCATTTCTTAAAAAGCAGGTCTAGTGGTGATTAAGTCCCTCAGATTTTGTTTGTACGGTCTTTATCTCTCTTTCATTTTTTTCTTCCAAGTTTGTATTTAAATTCCAGTTATTAACATACAGTGTAATACTAGTTTCAAGTGTCAGATTCAGTGATGCATCATTTACATA